GCCCTCTGCTGGGCTCTTTTTTTGCAACTTTGGAAGATAAGTTTAACTGCTTCAAGGCACAATATAATGTTACTTGATTAACATTTTAACAGAGCATTTACACCAGACCTCACTTCATAGAGGGAGGTGCTAAGCTATGGGCTGCCGAAGGTGCAGAACAGTTTGACAAAGATTAAATGCTGGTGTAGATGCATAAGTAATTGGAAGGATGAGAATGTAAATACCTCAGAGCAAATTTATTATTATCAGGAGATTGACTTTTTGCTCTTATTGCATTTGCTGTTTAGAATAAGAAGAAATAATAGCTTCATATTTTATTCTGAAAGTTGCTGTGTTTTCTTTTTAGTATTTGCATGTATTTAATAGCTGTAAAAAACCTATTCAAACTACCATAAGAGCCCTCAATCAATCATAGCAGCGTACTTATCATAAGGAGCCCAATTCCGCTTTTGTATGTATCCTGTGGAGTGTCGCCTTGACTTTGAGAACAGATTAATAAAAGAAAACCTGCCCGGAAATGAATAGGTGTGGAGCCTTTGCACATTGCATTGCCTTTGTCTTTGATTTGATTGTTGTCACACAATGCTTGAGCTATTTGATGTCAAGACACTGGGAAATTCGAAGATTTGATCACAAATAAAATCAGTGAAGAAAACTAGCATAAAAATGATTGCCTATGATTTTCTGATGATTGTCTTATTACAGATTTGCTATGTGAAAAGTGACTCCGGAAATCTCCCTTTGTGTCGGATAATTGGTTTAAACAGTGTTTAGACCTTTTAATTAAGTAATAATTATTATCATACTTAAGCAGCTTAACTGTTGTGCACAGCTTAAAAGTCCCCAAATTATATTTATAATATACAATTGAGGGTTTTTTTTTCCAGATTAATAAAACCTAAATTATTTTGGATCAATGGATCATAGTTACTGGTAAATTAAAAAAATCACTGATGTGCATTTATCTATTTCATATTTCAGCTGTTTTCAGTTTTAATTCCTGAGATGTTGCTTGATAGATTAATTGATAATAATATGATTAATCTGCAAAATAGTACGAAATACAAGTTTTCAAATAAATAATAATAGTAGAATAAATAGATTAAGCAGATTAAACCTGTACTTGAGCAAAATACTCAGTTAGTACTGAGCTATCATCCAAAGGTATTAGCAGTGTTGGGAAGGTTACTTTTAGAATGTATTCCATTACAGAATACAGAATACATGCCCCAAAATGTATTCTGTAACGTATTCCGTTACGTTACTCAATGAGAGTAACGTATTCTGAATACTTT